ATGCTATAGCTAATACATTTGTGAATATTTTTGATAAAAAAGGAAAAATGACATAAAAGCAGATCATCATTCATTCAGCGCTGTGTTGTGGTTGCGCTGTGTCACGTGACAAGGAATGACGCGTCACCATGGAAACATTAAAGTGACAAGTTCTAAATAACGGTCGCCTTGAAAAACTCACGCTGGGGGGTCAGTTAAAATATTTTAAACTTACGTGTGAAATGGTTAAAAGTGGAAGCTTGTGCGTAGCTTTGTTGCATTATATTGAAACTTTGTTGATGTTGTTATTGTCATGCGTGTTCTGGTTTTAGTGCATGATTAAACATGAGTCTTTATATGGCGATTAAACAAAGCTTTGTTGCATTTTTTTTGTTTGAAGTGGGGATTGGGGGTGCGCCAACCCGGTTGGGACATAGAAGGGGGTGCGCAGGAAAAAAAGTTTGGGAACCGCTGTGCTAGACTATAGAATAATGAATAGAATAGAACATATAGAATTACTAGTATTCTTGCATATCAGGCCTGTACGCAGGGTTTTCTAAATACCCAGGTCCCATAAATGATATTGCTATTTGATCAGATTAACCCTCTGGGCTTCTTGGTAAATGGGTTACACTTAGCTTCCTCCCGGTCAAAAAACGGACGAAGCCTTAAAATGTAACTTTACTTTTTCCCAGGATAACCAATCAAATATTGTTTTGTTCTATAATATTTTCTGATTATTATTTAGAATTTTTAGAATTTTTTATGATACTTTGCATTAATTATATAATTTTTATGAGCTATTCTTTCCATTAGAATTAATATATATTTTTTTATTTTATATATTTTTTTTTTAAAATTTCACATCAAAATAGAGTGCCAGCCTAAAAAAAAAAATGTTCAAGTAGAAGAGCGCCATCTAGTGGCTTTAAAAAATAGTTAAATGTGTGCAATGTCCTGTACCTGCCTATAGCTTCCTATATAAACACATAGAAAGGCTTTTTGATTCCTTTTGTTGTTTAGGACATTACTTATTTGCACTATTGATGTTTTAGAGTGTCACCCCTTCATTGCTGTACACTTTTTTTCTGCACAGTGGCTGATCTGTAGCTTGTACCACCAAAAGTTTCTCTGAGTTTTCGTATTTTTTCATATTTTCCATTCATTTCCTATGTCGCCTGTTTTTGACCGGGAGGAAGCTAAGTGTGACTATTTTTTTTTACGACCCTTTAACATATCAGAATCATCTCCTTGATTTTTTTGTGTGTTCATATAGGTAATACAACAAAAGTCACCAAGTTTCACCCCCATCCGATGAAGCAAAAAAAATTAAACAATTCAAAATGTAAACGTTTTCGGTCATTTTCGGACGAAGAAGCCGAATCAGTTCCAGTTTCAGCTACTTTTTCTTTGCTAAATTAATCAATGTTTTTGGACTAATCTGTTCATTTAATTAATGGCTCAATTGCTCACTCATAAAGACAGTCACTTGTCGCCGCCTTCTGGCTTAATGATGCAAGTTGCGCAAACACAGACAAGCGGAGTGATACAAACAGTGAAAAGTCGGACACATTCGAGGTAACGTTATACAAATATTTACAATAATAATGGCAATATATTTAATAGGGTTCTTGTGTTGTTAAATTGAGCTTATCATTTCCACTGTCTTTGATCAAACTTATTTCTGTCGGTCATTAAAAACTTTTATCGAAAAACAGCCGTATATTTTAGCTACTTGCATCTATCTCACACTGTATGATCGTTAACTGAAGTGAAGCGTCGCGTTGGGATTCGCGCTCGGCTCACGCTTCTGTGAACAAAAATCCTGCTTGCTTTGATTGGGCTCAAACATTTTCACATTAGTCTCAGCCTCAGACGTCACGCCCACGGAACGTTGGCTAAACGTCTGATGCATATGGTACACTTAACTGGAAACACTTCAGGAATGTCGAAGTCGTCATCTGATTGGTTGAATTTTATCGGATTTCCGGGGGGCGCGAGTGTCGCGTTTATTTTCGGTCCGCCGGGAAACAAAGCGCAGACGTGTGATTGCGGAAGAAAAACTGTTGTGTTTACATGAGTGACAATGAGCATTTATCAAGATCAGCTAAACGTAGGATTCTCAAAAGTATGCGAGGTTCACGGCATAGACTCTTGAAGTTTTCTTCTCCTTCTTTGATTTTCTATGCTGACTGACTTGTTGCACGCCGGTCTGTTGTTGTGGGGACATTTCCACGCCCCGAAACGTGACGCTGAACGAAACTAACTGTAATTGGAAAAAACTTAATTGCCTGTTGAATAAATCTAATAAGAATTCCCTTGCAAAATTAAGAATAAATAATAATATTATAAGTGATCCAATTTCTGTAGCTGACGCCTTTAATCAGCACTTTTCTTCTGTTTGTAATTTACGTCCACCTGATTTCTGTTACTCCAACCCTGTAAATAGTAATGTAGTAAACAGTTCTTTTTCATTTACTACAATTCTTCCCACTGAGGTACAGCAGGCAATCTCCGAAATTAAATCTGGAAGTGGTGTTGGTATAGATGGTCTGGAGATAAAGTTTATTAAAATTGCCTCTCATGTTCTAGCATATCCATTATGTGATCTATTTAATTTATCTATTTCTACTTGCAAAGTTCCAGTCATGTGGAAGTGTGCTAGAGTAACACCTTTATACAAAAGTGGTGATTCTCTTGATTTTAACAATTATAGACCAATCTCAATTATTAGTAATGTAGTAAAAGTATTTGAAAAAATTATATTCAAGAGACTGTTTAAATACATTAATGAGTTTTCTATTTTTTCTCCAAACCAATCAGGTTTTAGGCCCAATTACTCCACCACTACTGCTCTTACAAAATTTGTTAACGATGTTACATCTGCTTTGGACAATAATATGTCCACTGGAGCAATATTTATAGATCTTACCAAAGCGTTTGATCTGGTTGATCATTATATTCTCCTTGATAAATTATACAATATTGGTCTCTCCGAACAGTCCATTTTATGGTTTAATTCATATCTTCACTACAGACGTCAGTGTGTAAATTTTAATGGTGCTCTCTCTCAGTTCATGATCATGGAAAAGGGTGTTCCTCAAGGTTCTTGTTTAGGCCCTCTTTTATTTTCCATCTTCATTAATGACCTCCCACAAGTGTGCTCTGATAGTCAAATTATCTTGTATGCTGATGATACATTCATTTATTCTTCAAAACGTGATATTAATTTAATTCAATCATCACTGCAACTTGATTTTAATACTATTCAAAAGTGGTTCTCGAATAATGGACTTATATTGAATAAAAGTAAGTCTTATAGTATGTTATTTTCCACTAGATCTGCCCGACATAACCATGGTAATAGTTTAACATTTACATTTTCAGATGGTATATTTGTGGAGAATGTTGAGGAATTTAAATACTTGGGCCTCTGGCTTGACTCCAGCCTCTCCTTTAGGCCTCATATTGACTATATAGTGAAAAGAGTAAATTATAATTTGAGACTATTATACCGTTCAATTAATTGCTTTACACAATTGATTAGACTAAGAATTGTAACTCAGCTTCTATTTCCTATTATTGATTATGCTGACTTTGTCTATATGAGTACAACAGAATCACACCTTAAATCCTTAAATATAGTCTATAACAGTCTCTGTCGATTTGTGTTGAGATGTCCGTTTCTAACCCATCATTGTCATATGTACCAACAATTGAATCTTTTATCACCAAAGGCTAGACGTCAGCTACACTGGTTTCAGTTTGTTTATAAATGGATATTTTTTAATTATCCTTTTTATTTGAAGCAATATTTAGTTCTATATAGGTTATGGTCTGAGACACCTTGATCATCCCTTTTTTTCTGTCCCAAAGATATCTAAAGAAATTGGAAGACGTGCTTTCAAATTCAAAGCCCCCTCAGATTGGAACAGTTTACCTTGTTCCTTAAGGTCCATCTCTTCCTTTCCACTCTTTAAGTCAGCCCTTTTAACTTATTTGCAATCGTGTGACCAATGTATATGTTTTCCTGGTATATGAGCTTTTGTGTCTCTAATGCCCTTAGTAAGAAATTATGTATGTGCATGCACGTTTGTATGCATATGTGTATATAGGTAGGCCTATGTATTTTTGTATTGGTATGTGTGTAGGTTATATTTGTTTGTTTTTGTGGTTTCGTCAAAAATGGTTCTCTCCTGTAATATCTTAATGTCATACTATATTGTTTATGTGAAAATGCTTTGGACAGAGGTGGGACAGGTTGAGGTGGTTGGTTGTGAAGAAGAGCATTAGTGTGTGCGAATGTGTAAGTGTTTGGTGTTATCTTGAGGACCCCCTCGAAAATGAGATGTTGGCCTTGGCCAAAGAAAGCTGCTATGAATTCCAGACCTTCAGCCGTCAGTCTGAAGGTCTGGCTACGCGAGACTATTTTGACATTGACGACGAGCGGGTGTTTGAGTGCTGAAGCAGCTCAGACGAAAATTGATGGGTGAATCATTGCAGCACCAAATTAGAGTTAATATTAGGGAATTATTGCACAACTTTCATTATATAGGCTACACTAAAAATGGATGACAAGGCATAATTAATGCAACAAAACACGTTTATATAAAGGCTTTAAGTAATTAAATATTTCTTTATTTATCTGAGAACAAATGCTGTCCTTTAAAGTGAACAACATTTCTGTAATAAATGTGGGCCTATTTTAACCCCCAACAGTGTTGACGGAGATGCAAACAAACAGAAAACAAAAGGTACTAGTAAAGATACACTAAATAAACGTTTAAAGCAAGCTTTGATTCTGCCACTGTCACTGAATAATAATAATTTCCTGTTTGTTCACTTTTGATCAAGCTGTTGCTTTACTTAATTTATTTACAAATAAAATAATAAATTAATATCTAGAAGTCTGCTTTCAACACATTTACAGTTCACTGGAAGAGAAGATTGTAGCTGTATCGCATAGACCCGGTCTTGTATTAAAGCGCCCTCTATCGGGCGAATGTGGAGACTCTTATTTTGAAATCTTTGCTATTCTACTTCTGCTGTGGGTGTAAGACCTGTGCAAGACTTCTCCCAAGACACGAGCAAGCACACGAAGAACACTTTTATGACCTTCTGAATTTATATTTGCATCCGTAACTCGCATGAGTGTTAACCAGGCATTTAAGTGTGAGTACATGAATACTGCGTTAACAGTAATGTTGTAAAAACACATGCTAAGTCTCATCATGAATTTCCACTGTTCATGTATACCATCAGATCATGTGGAGTCCTGATGAAATAGCCAGTTTGTGTTATAATCACTTTAATAAACTGCCCAAGAGAGGAAAGCCAGAGGCGGGCAGAGAGTGGACTCTACTGGCTGCTGTCATTCTTCTGACTGACAGCTCAGACCACAAGACAGGTTAGCAAGCCTGCTTAACTAATGCTCATCTCATAAACACTGATGTGAAAACTTCAAAATGCCCCTTTAACCATTTAATCTCAGTTCAAAAGCAGGTTGTGTCTTTGGGGACGGGCACCAAATGCATCGGCCAGTCTGCTATGAGTATGAAGGGTAAATGTAAAAGATTTAAACAATTTGTCAAATACTAACCTAACCTACTTTGCAATCTCATATATTTTGTATTGGGATGATTTGCAGGTGATATTCTGAATGACAGTCATGCCGAGGTTATTGCTCGAAGGGGGTGTGTCAGGTAATTTAACTCATGACTTCAGAAACACTTTACAATAAGGTTCATTAGTTAACATTAGTTAATGTACAGTATTAACTAACATAAACTAACCATGGGCAATACATTTGTTAGTGTATTTGTTAAACTTTGTTAAGTTTAGTTAATAAAAATACAGCTGTTCATTGTTTGTTAATTTTAGTTCACAGTGCATTAACTAATATTAACAAGATTTTAATAAAGTATTAGTAAATGTTGAAATTAACACGAACAAAGATTAATAAATGCTGTATAAGTGCAGTTCATTGTTAGTTCATGCTAACTAATGTGGTTAACTAATGTTAACTAATGAACCTTATTGTAAAGCGTTACCAGAACTTCTTTGCATTTGTGATGCATTCACAAACAAAAACCCAGCTTCTTATATCGCAATCCTTCACAGTTACACGCACACTGTAAACATATCTTATGGGCATATTTGATGTATTTATTCGTTTACCTTTCTATATTTGTACATGGATTTGACATGCGTCAGGCGGATGTTGTGTCCTGTAACCTGTGTTCTAGATGACTGAAGTTCATGTGTGTTGTTGTAATGGAAGCCCAAATATAGGCCACATTTAAACGTTTTTTTTCTTTTTTTCTTTATGCGATACTTGGCTTGCTTTTGATGTTTTTACAGTGCAACAAATCAGTCTTAACAAATCTTTATTGTTTTCCCTAAACATCTAAACATTCCTAAAACAAGAAAACTATTTTAAAAAAATCCCTAACCTTATAGTTTATAAGACATTAAGACTTGTTTTCAGAGGATTTTATTTTTCTTGCTCCAATAATCAATATGTTGATAGAAGATACATATTTGTGAAATATATAGAGAAATTGAGTACAAGAAATACAAATTTTCATTTAATGTAACAGTACTTTAAAATCAAAACAGTTTTATAAATGTGAATTAGTCATTTTTCTAAATATAATAATGAAATGGCTCTATTCACGAGACACCAATAATGTAAAAATTAAAATCAAAAGAATGTGCTTCTTGGTCACACTGTTGGGACTAAATTTGGTTTTAAAGTAATAACAGTAAATGCATCTGTGCACTAGTGTTTGCTCGGCCACACTGATGCTTCTGTCCTCAGGTATCTGACAGAGCAGCTGCACAGGGCTGTGAGTGGCCAGAGCTCTGACGTCTTCTGTCCAGGAGCCGAACGGGGAAAATGGACAGTTAAACCAGGAGTTTCTTTCCTTTTCTTCACCAGTCAAACACCCTGTGAGTCCAGCTTTATGTCTTACATGTTAATATCTGTTTAGTTAAAAAGGGTCTCTGCTGTGCACTACCAGTCAAATATTTGTATACTCTTTCTCTTGTATTTAGGTGTTCAAGCACGAAGTGCTGAAAACCTATTGTAATTGCTATTTGAAAAAAAAAAAAATCCTAAAACGCATCGTGCAGCCCAAACCGTAAGGCCTAGAGACTTGAAACCTGGCCAGGTGGTAGGGCCTCAGTTTGGGGAGAACCTATCAGAGTATGACCCCGATTGGCCCATAGGTGGCGCTACAGCAACCAAAAGTACTAAATTGCTCATAACTCCTAGACCGTTTGACTTGGAATCAAGCTTTTTGCACCACTGTGTTCCTTGGCTCAAGACGGACAAGATGTATATCTAGAATCAAGATAGAATCAAGATTGGGCGTGTCAAAATACACTCAAAAGCCTATAAATCATAAATAAAAACTCAGAACTTCACAAAAATTGATGAGCATATGTGTCATGACATGGTGAAGAAGCATGCAAAGTTTCATGGAGATCGGACCATAGGTGGCGCTATAACTGTTAAAAAGCTTTAAAACCATATATTTCCTATGGTAAATTGCCTGTATTGGCTGTAAATTGTCTTTTCCATCTATGATCGTATACTTTTCATATCATAATGTTTAAAACCAGTGCAGTACAATTCTCTGGACTCTCTAGATCAATAATGATCAGAAAAGGTATAACTTCTTAATTTGGATGGCTATAATAGGGTCACTTCAATATGTGAATGTGGTATATCATGGTAAATCATCCTATAACATGGTAAATCATGGTAAACTATGTTAAATCATGCTAGATTCATGGTAAATCATACTGGAACATGGTAGATCATGAAAAATCACACTAAATTTGGTATATCATGGTAAATCATGCTAAAACATGGTCTATTCCATCTATGATGTCAATGGTTAAATGCTTGCTACATAAAACTTAATGTCTTTTGATGCTTTTGTGCTTAACGGCCTTAACGGCCTTAACTGCTTGAACACCGCTAAATGCTGCTTGCAGCTTTAATATTATTACTATGTTTTAGAAAAATAGTCATTAAATATTCAAACCAAAAAGTAAAACAAGGAAAATTATCAGTCAGTACATTTAAAGTGTTCGTTCACCCAAAATGAAAAATCTGTCATTAATTACTCTCCCTCATGTCGTTCCAAACCCGTAAGACCTTCGTTCATCTTCAGAACACAAATTAAGATATTTTTGATGAAATCCGAGAGCTTTCTATCCCTCCACTGACTACAATGTTATTACCACTTTCAAGGCCCAGAAAAGTATTAAAGACATCGTTAAAATAGTCTGTGTGACTACAGTGGTTCAACCTTAATGTTATGAAGCAACGAGAATACTTTTTGTGCGCAAAACCCCCCAAAGATAACGACTTTATTCAACACTCTCTGCTCTTCCATGTCAGTCTGAACTAGACAAAAATGAACCGAAACTCAGCGTATATAGCCTAGCCTCACAGACATGAGAAATACATCTATAGATCATCTATAGAAAGCTTGAAATGTCTTGAAACGAACCAATTCAATTGGAAAACAAAAACTCTGATTATGTTATCCGTATGAAAGGCGCATCCACCCCCAGTATGTTTAAGTAATTACATTAATATAAACGTGCGATTAGTCGACTCGAAATGTCTTTAGTCGAGGGCAGCCCTACTCCGACAGATGACAAAAGACAGACACTTTGTCTGGTTATGTCGATTTATGGGTGTGTCACCCCTGTCGGTGTCTGTTGGCGTCTGTCGGAGCTTCATGCTGAACTGGCGTCTGTAGGGTCGTGGAATGTGACACACTGTAATCTGGGGATTGTGAATTGGTCTTAAGAGTATTACTGGCCAGTTAACAGACACCTTTCATCCATTGGTGTTTCGTACACTAATAACAGGTACTGTCCTTAGAAATAAAGTGTTAGAGTCCTATCCCAGTTTATTATTCAACTCCAGTTTAAGAGTCTGTTGACTGTTAGAGAAACCTGTTCTTTGCAACTCTCACTGGTGATGCTAGTTGTGCAGAAATCCCACACTGAAGCTACAATCACCCTCATCTATACACCTTTTTTCTCTTTTAAAAGGACTGTTCCTTTAACACAGTGATTTTAAACTCATTGCACGTTTGTCTTGCAGTCTGCTTACTGACTGGCGGTTCACCCGTGGGGTGGAGGAACAAACTAAAGCCTTCCTGGACGGCTTCAATGAGGTTGTGCCTCTGGAGTGGCTGCGTTATTTTGATGAGAAAGAGTTGGAGGTGGGTGGTGGTGTTGTGTTTTTAGCAAGGACTTGACATTTATAGATGCTATCATTCCAATAAAAAACCCTCATCTATACGAAGACCCATCACTGAGAAAACGGTTGTAAATAACTGGGTGATTGTTTCTCGCTCTAGTTGATGTTATGCGGGATGCAGGAAATCGATCTGAACGACTGGCAGAAGAACACCATTTATCGGCATTACACCAAAAACAGCAAGCAAATCCACTGGTTCTGGCAGGTAAGTCGTGTGTGTGTTTTTATGCAGTCACAGCTACTCCCGCGTTTCTCTTTTTACTATATATATGTCATTGTGTGTCACACAGGTCGTGAAGGAAATGGACAATGAGAAGAGAATTCGGCTTCTGCAGTTCGTCACAGGAACTTGTCGACTGCCGGTTGGAGGTTTCGCAGAACTGATAGGTACAGCTATAATATCTTAATGTACCTTTACACACAACAGTGCATTTTGATAACACTATTTACCGTGTTAATAATAATAATAACATTAATTAGTGAACTAATTAGTTAAATTTTCCTTTTTACTATAGTTACTATTACTCTGAGTAGTCATCGATTCACCAGTAGTATTTGTCTGCAAGCCTAACACATTAATTGAATCATTTTGCCCTATAGACAGTTTTCATACAATATGAAATTACTGCATGCTATCAAAATCTCAAATATGGAGCATTTCATGGTTGTTTCTTTGGCCTTAGTGTGTTTACTTAGTGGTTTAGAGGAGGAGGATTTCCAACTTTTTGGTTGATAAGCTTAAAGGAGTAGTTCACTTCAGAATGAAAATTTCCTGATAATTTACTCTCCCCCACGTCATCCAAGATGTTCATGTCTTTCTTTCTTCAGTCGAAAAGAAATTAAGGTTTTTGAGGAAAACATACACTCCATATAGTGACTTCAACAAGTTACAACAGGTTGAAGGTCCAAATGTCAGTTTCAGTGCAGCTTCAAAGTCTCGTCACGATCTCAGCCGAGGAATAAGAGTCTTATCTAGACAAACCATCGGTCGTTCTTTTTAGAAAATGACAGATCGTTTCACTAGACCTTTATTCCTCGGCTGGGATCGTGTCGAGTCTTTGAAGCTGCACTGAAACTGACATTTGGACCTTCAAACCGTTGGACCCTGTTGAAGTCACTATATGGAGAATGTTTTCCTCAAAAACCTTAATTTGACTAATTTGACTTGACTTAAATGACTGAAGAAAGAAAGACATGAACATCTTGGATGACGTGGGGGAGAGTAAATTATCAGGAAATTTTAATTCTGAAGTGAATTAATTATCAGGACATTACTAATACTTTAGTAATTCAACTAATCCTTTAACAATGTTGATGGAACGAAAGGAAAAGCTTGAAATGGTGGCACTGTCCATGAATATGGTACAAAATAGGGCCTTAACAGAGTCAGTGAAAGGAGGTGCGTAACCTTTGGAGAATGTTAATGAAGTATCATGAGCTAATGCTGCCTTCACGCGCTATCGGAAAAGTTGTGATTACGAGCTTTGTCGCATTCAAGCGCTTTGTTATTGGAAAGAACAGGAATCATGAAGGACACCAGGTTTTTTTCTTGCATATTTATTGGGAAAATCTTATTAAAGCCAAAATGATATTTAGCATCCCATTCATTGACATCCATATAAACATTCACCATGCTTTAGATGGCTTGCTGACAGTTCTAAAATTTCTGTCAAATACAGGCTATTTTCACTGTGTATAAAATCACATTTTATTCACCCTGTTTTGCTGTGTTTATGACAATTATATTAAAATATTAAGCGGGTAAGAATATTTCTCTTTTGGCTGCTGATCTGTCATCTATTTAATTTCAGGTAACATTTGGAACTGGAGAATTTTGGAGGAACAGTCTGTAATTACTGAAAGTGCTTATGATACATTAAAGACTTCAGTTAATAGACTACATTTTTTAGAGTGACGGATCTAAAATATTTCAGTTAAATATTGATCTTGTGTAGAGAAAAATATGCTTGTAAACGATAAGGATGTCCAATATGAGTGGATCAGTCTTTGGAGCGTCCTCAGTTTCACAGGTGGGCCACCGTACCGTCCACCTATTTTCCCGAGAGTCATGTTATATTATAATTTAATATGCACTACTTGAACAACAAGAACAAACGAATGAAGAATAGCAGTCACACAGCAGTCGTTCTCCCTCCGCCATGTTTAACGTTTATGGCCTGTCCAACTCAAAATGATCCCACAGCCTCCCAGTGAGAAATACGACTTGAGAAGGGCGTTCATGTCAAATTTTTAACTAGGAAATTCATATTTACAATAATCCCGAAAACACGTTACGGCAGCATAAATACAGTAAGTTATTCAATTAAAGAAAACCCATTTGTTTGATCAAGTCTTTCCACCATTCAGCTTTGACCTGAAGTCTGTCCACATTGTACATATTCAATGTTTAGAAATGTAAATATTTCTAATAGTTTATCATTTTATCGCCTCATTGTCTAGGAAGTAACGGGCCACAAAAATTTTGCATAGACAAAGTGGGGAAGGAAACGTGGCTGCCTAGAAGTCACACTTGGTGAGATGCAAATGTTCAACCTAAATCTGAAAAATAATAGAAAAGAACTGTTTTTATAAAACTGTTTTGTGACTTATTTGTCCCTCCTGTCTTACATTTTCAGCTTTAACCGTCTGGATCTGCCACCCTATAAGAACATGGAGCAGCTACGAGAAAAACTTCTGTTTGCTATCGAGGAAACCGAGGGATTCGGACAAGAGTGACGAGCATGGAAAGGACAGGACCAAGAAAATTATTAATCAGTTTCTTGTGACTAGGCCATTAATACCACTAATGTGGACTGAATGGACAGACTGTTGAAGAGACTTGCTGCAGATTTACAGTTCAATTACTAGTTTATCTAAAAATGAAAACTCACCCTCACATCATTCTGTACACGAAGAATTTTGAGGAAAGGTCACTATGAACTGTTGTTGTATGGAAAAGCAGAGTGTGGGATTCTCCAAACTTCAGATAACAGCAATGCTGGTGATGACATGAGGATGAGTAAAACAATGAGTTTCATTTTTGGATATAACGATCACTTTAAACAGCAGAGCAAAGCACTGATGGACCAGCAGCAGATACATGATTCGTTTGAATGTAACATTTAATCTGGCCTCTTCTGGGAATGATAACTTCACCTTACATTTCTATGCAGAGAAAGCAGTGCAAATTATGACATAGGTCACTGCATTATTTCATTATCAAGATTTTTTAAATGAATTCCCTGAATTGCCTAAATCAAAATGTGATCAATCCTGATTTTCAGTGTGAGGTGAAATTCTCAACCCCCTCATTATAATGCAGCATTCAACACAGAAATATTACTATTAATAATACAATAAACTGCAGCAAATGTCATGAACCGCATAGCTGGAGCTCATGTGTCATATCAGTGTATATGGGCTAGAGGACCATCGAGATGATTGAGAAAATAATTGTTTTAAAAAAGATTGATCAGATATGATTTCATTATTTTGTGACATGCCATGCTACACTGTACATAGTTGAAATAAAATCCAGTTATGGACTGTGAAAACATTTTGGATTGTGACAGAAAAATCCTTTTTACTCCGTGACATATTAGGTAAAGAAACCAAACTCTTCCAGATGTACACCTTAAGGTTTGCTTCTCTGCAGTCTCATTTTGGAACAAAACATGTATTCATTTTGACCATTAATGATGTTTTATGAGGTCTTTGTTTTTATAGGAATTAGGGTTATTTACCCAAGTGAAAATTTCTGTCCTTGAATGATTTAAATGAATTAATTAATAACAATATTTTAAAAAGCATGTATCCAATTTGGCATTTGTGCACTTTTATAACAAAGAATGGCTGTCCCCAATACTGCCATCCATCTCAAGCATTTTAAAGGTGCAGTAAGTGATTTCTGAGAAACAAACAAACACACCAATGCAAGAATAAAGCAAAGCAAAATAATGCTTCAATGACACTCAAAACTGTCCTGTGACTATAGCTAACATTACAACAACGGCATCTTAGTTCTGTGAAACAGCAAAACCAATGTTACTCGCATACGGAGAAGAAACGACCAAACCTCAGTGTTCCTATATAGAGGTTATGCACGTGACGTCACTGGCACTGAGTGGCAGAAACACTGAGCGGTGGAAACACTGAGTGGCAGAAACACTGAGCGGCAGAAACACTGAGCGGCAGACACACTGAGCGGCGGAAACACTGAGCGGCAGAAACACTGAGCGGCAGAAACACTGAGTGGCGGAAACACTGAGCGGCGGAAACACTGAGCGGCGGAAACACTGAGCGGCAGAAACACTGAGCGGCAGAAACACTGAGCGGCGGAAACACTGAGTGGCGGAAACACTGAGCGGCGGAAACACTGAGCGGCGGAAACACTGAGTGGCGGAAACACTGAGCGGCGGAAACACTGAGTGGCGGAAACACTGAGCGGCGGAAACACAGCGGCGGAAACACTGAGCGGCAGAAACACTGAGCGGCGGAAACACTGAAACACTGAGGGTCAGAAACACAAACACTGAGCGGCGGAAACACTGAAACACTGAGTGGCGGAAACACTGAGTGGCAGAAACACAAACACTGAGCGGCGGAAACACTGAAACACTGAGTGGTGGAAACACTGAGCGGCGGAAACTTTGAAACACTGAGCGGCGGAAACACTGAGCGGCGGAAACACTGAGCGGCGGAAACACTGAGCGGCGAAAACACTGAGCGGCTGAAACACTGAGCGGCTGAAACACTGAGCGGCTGAAACACTGAGCGGCTGAAACACTGAGCGGCTGAAACACTGAGCGGCTGAAACACTGAGCGGCGGAAACACTGAGCGGTGGAAACACTGAGCGGTGGAAACTGAGCGGTGGAAACACTGAGCGGCGGAAACACTGAGCGGCGGAAACACTGAGCGGCGGAAATACTGAGCGGCGGAAACACTGAGCGGCGGAAACACTGAGCGGCGGAAACACTGAGCGGCGGAAACACTGAGCGGCGGAAACACTGAGCGGCGAAAACACTGAGCGGCGGAAACACTGAGCGGCGGAAACACTTAGCGGCGGAAACACTGAGCGGCAGAAACACTGAGCGGCGGAAATACTGAGCGGCAGAAACACTGAAACACTGAGCGGCTGAAACACTGAGCGGCTGAAACACTGAGCGGCGGAAACACTGAAACACTGAGCGGCTGAAACACTGAGCGGCTGAAACACTGAGCGGCGGAAACACTGAAACACTGAGCGGCTGAAACACTGAGCGGCTGAAACACTGAGCGGCGGAAACACTGAGCGGCAGAAACACTGAGCGGCGGAAACACTGAAACACTGAGCGGCTGAAACACTGAGCGGTGGAAACACTGAGCGGCGGAAACACTGAGCGGCGGAAACACTGAGCGGCAGAAACACTGAGCGGCAGAAACACAGAAACACTGAGCGGCAGAAACACTGAGCGGCGGAAACACTGAGCGGCGGAAACACTGAGCGGCGGAAACACAGAAACACTGAGCGCCGGAAACACTGAGGGGCAGAAACACTGAAACACTGAGCGGCGGAAACACTGAGCGGCGGAAACACTGAGCGGCGGAAACACTGAGCGGTGAGCAGCGGAAACACTGAGCGGCAGAAACACTGAAAATGGGAGCACTGTTCTCCCAGTGACCGTTTGAAGATCTACATTTATGTTGTGATTAACATGATTGCTAGCGGACAGCTTCGAGCTTCCACATCCTTGGACTCATAATTATGCGTTTCTGGCTGTTTTGCAAATGCCTTAATTATCTCCTATTTAACTACATAAGCTACATTAAGATGAAGATTACACAAATGTCCAATATGAGCCGATCAGTCTTTAAAAGCATCCTCTTTGGAGCATCAGTGTGAAATTTAATGTTTATACAGAAAAAATTCTTCATTCTGTAAACACAAACAGCTGATGTCATGAAAATGACTGATCAAGTGTCTGAAGTCTGATATAAGGACCAGTGTGGTTGAGCTGTATGAAGGCTTGAGACATCTGTTCATTCAGTACAGCTCTCGACAGCATCAGTCAGTGTCGCTTATTTGGCATCAAATCTTAACTGTACAGAACTGTATTGTAAAAAAAAAAAGAAAAAAAAAAGGTTATTTAAGTTTTCACTCCAGTCATGTCTTTTAGGAAAGATAAAGATCTACAACAAGATCTGTAATCTTTTAACAACAACTGTTTTTGATATCATGTAATAGCCTATACTCATCTAAAAACGATAATTTATTAAAACACTGTTTATTGAATTTATAATAGTTGAGAAAAAATATTAAAATAGGCTACTGTATTTGGTAACACTTATACCCTTTATATATATAATGCATTCTATTCGTAATATACGTTATAATTATATTTTCATAAATAATTGTAACAAAGTTAAAATGCATTATAATATTAGCAGATTCCTTGCATCTGAAATTGGTTGTTTGTCTGTTTTATTGCATTATACTTGCTAAAGGTGTAATTAATATATAAGTATTGTCAGTGATGTAGTGGTGCCTGGAGAAGTGGGTATACTCTTAATTTATGCCCCCAATATTTTTTTAAGCGTCCCAGCAAAGGACGAACGATCTGTGTTATAAACAGTGACATGTAAGACTAGTCTTGCATTAGTATTGAATATGCTAGACCAGGGATTCCCAAAGTGTGGTACGGGGGTACGCGAGCTGCCACCAGGGGGTGCGCGAGAGGAAAAATGTAATGGCGGTCTGTTTTGTAAGTGGGATTTTTCCATACAATAAAATAAAAACCATGAACAGTAAACATTTCCTTTGTAATCGCTTTTATTTTAAAAAAAAAACCTATAATTTATTAGTTTTTGATAGAAACGTTGAAAACAGCTGCTGTCTTCTACGCACTGCTCTGCACTGCAGCCGCTAACGTGACAAATGTGCTTTCGCGCGATGGCTGGCGCTGAGCCAGTGCTGTCATATATCACAACCATTGAGTGTTTTCAACAACATAATGTTTATTTTAGGTTTCAGACATTTAAATACACATAAGTACTAGCAAAACAATGATTTTGATTTTGCTGATTTCTATGGAAGCGGCAATATTAATCCTTTTCATTATAATAAGACGACACAAGAGCTTTACATTTTACCCTATTCTTCTCCCAGTTCACCGGCCTCTTACTTTCACTTTTAAATCCAACAGATCCGATTCTCTGAACTGTGGCACAAACTAACGATCGTTATGAAGGTGTTTGAACAATAAAACACATCCACTTGCACATATTTGACAATCGGAATATCAGTGTTTCATGCTATAGCTAATACATTTGTGAATATTTTTGATAAAAAAGGAAAAATGACATAAAAGCAGATCATCATTCATTCAGCGCTGTGTTGTGGTTGCGCTGTGTCACGTGACAAGGAATGACGCGTCACCATGGAAACATTAAAGTGACAAGTTCTAAATAACGGTCGCCTTGAAAAACTCACGCTGGGGGGTCAGTTAAAATATTTTAAACTTACGTGTGAAATGGTTAAAAGTGGAAGCTTGTGCGTAGCTTTGTTGCATTATATTGAAACTTTGTTGATGTTGTTATTGTCATGCGTGTTCTGGTTTTAGTGCATGATTAAACATGAGTCTTTATATGGCGATTAAACAAAGCTTTGTTGCATTTTTTTTGTTTGAAGTGGGGATTGGGGGTGCGCCAACCCGGTTGGGACATAGAAGGGGGTGCGCAGGAAAAAAAGTTTGGGAACCGCTGTGCTAGACTATAGAATAATGAATAGAATAGAACATATAGAATTACTAGTATTCTTGCATATCAGGCCTGTACGCAGGGTTTTCTAAATACCCAGGTCCCATAAATGATATTGCTATTTGATCAGATTAACCCTCTGGGCTTCTTGGTAAATGGGTTACACTTAGCTTCCTCCCG